TTACAGCCAGGAGCAGAAGAAAGTGAATTGCAAGCCCAAGAACCTGGATGACCAGGAGATCCCTTTCCGCCTCCGAGAGATCATGAGGAGCCGCCAGGAGATGAAGAACCCGCTCAGTAACAAGAAGAGGAAGAAGGAGGGTAGGTGCGGGTCCCTGCTGGGAGCGTGACACCTCGGACGGCTACAACAACAAAGTGAAACTTTTGTTTTTACCAGTCCTGGCTTGAACTCGGCCTGGCCCTGTCTCTGAGCTTTTCCTCCTAAGGTTCGAGCTCTACCGCTTGAGCCACAGCTCCGTTTCTGGCTTTTTATTTCTACTTTTTAATGTTATTGTTATCAAAGACCAGGTAACGTACAAAGGGATCACAACTACACAAGTCAGGTAATGAGTACGTTTGTACAGTGTCTTCTGTACTTTTCACTTTTTTGGTCAATTGGAGATAAGAGTCTCTCTCAAGACTTTCCTTCTCTGGTTGGCTTCAAACTGCCATCCTCAGAACTCATCCTCCTGAGTAGCTGGGATAACAGACGTGAGCCACCAGCGCCCAGCCCAGTAAGAATGGTACATTTTGGCAATACAACATTGAATTGACACTTCTTGTTAGATTAGATTTTAACTGTTTTTTTTTTTTGGTCGGTCGTGGGGCTTGAACTCTGGGCCTGGGTGCTGTCCCTCAGCTCTTCAGCTCAAAGCGAGCGCTCTACCACTTGAGCTACAGTGCCACTTCCGGTTTTCTGGTGGTTTACTGGAGATAGGAGTCTCACGTCTCTCCTGCCCGGGCTGGCTTTGAACCTCCATCCTCAGATCTCAGCCTCCTGAGTAGCTAGGATGACAGGCGTGAGCCACCAGCGCCATGCTAGATTAGATTTTAAAAAAGTATAAGTTTCAGTGGCTGGGTATGTGGCTCAGTACTAAAGCACTTAGTATGCACAAGGTCCTGGGTTTAGTCCTTACCACTGTACGTATGGGAATGGGAATGTAAATATGTGGTGAAATCAAACAGCTCTGAGACAAATGAAGTATGAGACTCTATATTTGAACTCTGATCCCTCTTCCTGAAATCACTTTTAGTTTTCTGTGTAACCTTCCAGAAATTTAATACATTTAAACAAACATTTACTTAAAAACATTAAAATATTTCAGAAACTGTCTTACCTTATGCATTGTTTGTACTCCCATTTACAACAGTGTTATAGGTCTGTCTTTGTCCCTGTGCATAACCTATGGGATTGCTTCAAAAGCTGTGCAGTAAAGTCTGAAGGAGCAAAAGAAAAATAATTCAGAGACTTTATCTATTTTTTGCCGGTCCTGGAGCTTGAACTCAGGGCCTGGGTGCTGTTCCTAAGTTTTTTCACTCAAGGCTAGTACTCTACCATCTTGAGCCACAGGGCCATTTTCGGTTTTCTGGTGGTTAATTGGACATGAGGTTCATGGACTTTCCTATCTGGGCTAGCTTTGAATTGCAATCCTAAAATCAGAGCCTCCTGAATACATGTAGCTAAGATTATAGGCATGAGCCACTGGCACCAGTTTACACTGATTATTTTATAGATGGAATTTCTCAGGCTTCCACCCAGGCTGGCCTTGAACTATACTCGTCTAGATCTCAGCCACTTGAAAAATTAGAATTACGGGGCTGGGAAGGAGGCTCAGTGGTAGAGTGGTTGCCTCATATGCATGAGGCCCTGGGTTCAATTCCTCAGCACCACACAGGCAGAAAAAAGCCAGAAGTGGTGCTGTTGCTCAAGTGGTAGTGCACTAGCCTTGAACTGAAGAGCTGAGGGACAGCACCCAGGCCCAGAATTCAGCCCCCACAACGGACAAAAAAAAAAAGTTTGCTCCATCTAGGAAGGTGGCTCAGTGGTAGAGTGCTTGCCTCGCATGCCGGAGGCGCTGGGTTGAATTTCTCAGCACCACATAAGCAGAAAAAGCTGGAAGTGGCGCTGTGGCTCAAGTGGTAGAATGCTAGCCTTGAGCTGAAGAGCTGGGACAGCGCCCAAACCCAGAGTTCAGCCCCCATGACTGATAAAAAACAAGCAAAACTACAATTATAGGTGTGAGTCACTGGCACCTGGCTGGTAGAGATCTTTGAGAGGAAACCAGAGTCTGTGGAGTCACACCCCAGGGTTCTATGTGCTGGGGATTTTATTTTATTTATTTTAATCATTTGTGGGGCTTGAAATGTGGGCCTGGGCCCTGTCTCTGAGCTCTTCAGCTCAAAGTGAGTGTTCTACCACTTGAGCCACACGGCCACTTCTGGTTTTCTGGTGGTTTATTGGAAATTAGAGTCTCATGGACTTTCCTGCCCAGGCTGGCTTTGAACCACAGTCCTTACATCTCAACCTCCTGGTGGAATCTGCTAGGCATTTTAGATCCACTTTCTTCTGCTTGAGTCTGGTCTTCCCTGCCTGTAGTCCTGGGAAGGAAATGTCTTGTCATTATCCACTTTCTCCTCACCCTTGTGCTATGTATGCCACATCTATAGTTGCTTTTAATCCTCAGCCCAGGTGGTCTTCAAAAACACATTGGAGATGGAAGCGAAGGGAACAGAACCTGACATCATTGTCCCCAAGTTCAAGCAGATGAAGGGGGAATCTGACGGGGCCTACATCCAGCGCATGGAACAGGAGACGCAGCATGTACTGTTCCTTAGCAAGAATCAGGCTGACCGGCAGCCAGAGGAGAAGGCAGCTCCAAAGAAGGAGAAGTCTGAGCGGAAAAAAGCGTGAGTTACAACCGGATCCCCAAGGAGGCAGGGCTGTAGGTTCCAATGATTGTGTCCTATGGTGACAGGACACAGCAGGCAACATTTTGTTGTCCTGGTCCACAGTGGGCACCACGTCATGAGTCAGAAAAACTATGGTAAGAAGTTAGTCTTAGCCGGGTGCCAGTGGCTCACGTCTGTAATCCTAGCTACTCAGGAGGCTGAGATCTGAGGATCGCAGTTCAAAGCCAGCTTAGGCAGGAAAGTCCGAGAGACTCTTATCTCCAATAAACCCTAGAAAACCAGAAGTGGCGCTGTGGCTCAAGCAGTAGAGCGCTCGCCTAGAGCTGAAGAGTTCAAGGACAGTACCCAAGCCCAGAGTTCAAGCCCCATGACCGACAAAAACAAAAAGGAGTTAGTCTTGATCACAACAGCATTTTTCATGTGCAGGGAAGAGACTGGGTGCTTCAAACACCTTGCTTTAAATTTCCCCGTTTCTTAAAAAATAGAGATATGAGAGTCAGTTGTCCACCTTTGGGCCAGCTACTGTAGGAAAGTGGAAAAGAAGAAAAACAGTTAAAAAGCCAGGTGTTGGGCTGGAAGGTGGCTCAGTGGTAGAGTGCTTGCCTTGCATGCATGAGGCCCTGGGTTCAATTCCTCAGCACCACATAAACAGAAAAAGCCAGAAGTGGCGCTGTGGCTCAAGTGGTAGAGTGCCTTGAGCTGAAGAGCTGAGGGGCAGTGCCCAGGCCCAGACAAGCCCTACTACAAAAGCCCCCTTCCCCAGGGGGAAAAAAAAAGATATGAGAATCTTTATCTGTGATTGTGCAAGTTCTGTGACTGGCATCAGTAGCAGTTATGGCACTGTTGTGAGGTTCCAGCATGCTCCTGTACAGCCCTTAATGACGGCATCTGATCGGTAGCCACCCACTGGATTTCTCTGCTCACCTTCCACTTCACTTAGACCACCCCTGGCCTACAAGCATGCAGGGAAATGACTTCGATAAGCAGGACTTAATGAGCTGTGTGAACCACAAGCAAAACACTTTTTTTTTTTTTTTTGCCAGACCTGGGGCTTGAACTCAAGGCCTAAGCTATCCCTGAGCTAGCACTTTACAACTTGAACCTCTGTGCTACTTCTGGCCTTTTCTGTGTATGTGGTATTGAGAAATTGAAACCAGGGCTTCTTGCCTGCTAGGCAACCACGCTACCACTAAGCCACATTCCTACCACCCCAAGCAAACCTTTTTTTTTGGTTGTGGGGCCTGAATTCAGTCTGGGCGCTGTCCCTCAGCTCTTCAGCTCAAGGTTAGCGCTCTACCACTTGAGCCACAGCGCCACTTCCAGCTTTTTCTGCTTATGTGGTGCCAAGGAGTGGAACCCAGGGCCTCATGCATGCGAGGCAAGCACTCTACCATTGAGCCACCTTCCTAGATGGAGCAAAACTTTTTTTTTGTCCATTGTGGGGGCTGAACTCTGGGCCTGGGTGCTGTCCCTCAGCTCTTCAGCTCAAGGCTAGTGCTCTACCACTCGAGTTGACAGCACTTCTTCTGGCTTTTTTCTGCCTGTGTGGTGCTGAGGAATCGAACCCAGGGCCTCATGCATGCAAGGTAAGCACTCTACCACCAAGCCACCTTCCCAGCCCACAAATCTTTTTAAAATATGTTAATCACAGCTTTCCAGATGAATCAGTCTAGGCTTTCACCAAAGTTAAGAAAAAACTTAACACCACTGTTCCTCTTTGCTGGTTCAAGAAGCATACAAACACTTGTTTGATTCTCAGAAGCTATGTTACTTTTCTTTCTCTGCATTCTAGTAATAGTAGTCACATTAGCAAAAGAAAATTATGTTATAAAAAACCTAACCATGGTACCACGGCCTCCCCAAGTGTTGCAAGCGTAGTAAGTGCCACCTCATATATCACGCAGGTGGTGTTTTGTGAGGGCATTTTGGCACAGCAGCAGGCCGGACTCAAGGGGATAGTGTTCTCTGCAGTGCGTGGTAGGGTGCTGAGTATCCCTCACCCCCGTGTCACAACTCAGATGTCTGCAGGCGTTGTCAGATGCTCCCTGGAAAGCTGCCCTCGGGGAGCCTGACAGCTGTGGAGTTGGTGGTGAGGGTCGAGGGCTCACTGCTCTGCCCTGGAGGCTGGGGTGACTTGTGCTTCCTCCTCGGCAGAGTGAGAGCTTGGAAATCTGGATAATGTGCTTTCTTCCCAGGTTCCAGAGGCGGCGACTAGATAAAGCCCGGCAGAAAAAGGAGGCAAAGGCTGTGGAAATGCTGGAGCAGGAATTGCTGCGAGGTAGCTCTCCTGAAAACCAAGCACCGCAGCCATGGTCCCTGGGGAGCTGGTCCTGCTTTCCATCAGACCCCTGGGAGGACCCATGACCCTCCCCCTAACACACACACACACACACACTCTCTCTCTCTCTCTCTCTCTTTCTCTTTCTCTGCAACAACCAATGGGTGGGGGGGCCCAACAGATGAGTTAGCATGTGTGTGTCTTAATCCTTGGGGGAGGAGGGTAGGCAAGAAGGGCTCTAGGCATACCAACAAAATGGTTTGTATCAGCACCAGGCCTCTGTCTGCTCTGCCTCTCCAGACACTGTGAAGTTTGGAGAGGTGGCTCTGCAGCCCCCAGAGCTGACTGCCCAGCCCAGGAAGAGCTTCAGCAGAGACCAGGTATGTAGGGATGCCATGGCTGGGATGGGGGTGGGGGGAGTCACTGCGTCTGCCCCCTGGTGCTCTGAAGGACCAACAGCCAAGGCACATTGTGCTGTCCACTGTGGGGTCTGACCTGGGACTTTGTTGCTGGCTTTGACCTCTCGGACCAGTTACCAGTTGAGCCCTTTGCGATTTCCCTTGTCCTGCATCCTGACTTTCCCTTCTTCCTCAGCCTGGGAAGAAGGCACTGGTGTTGAAAAAGATTCTGAACCCTGATGTGTCACAGCCTCTGACTACCTCACTGGCCAGGCAGCGGATCCTGGGGCAGGAAAGAGAGCGGGCTGTGAAGGCATACAGAGCCCTGAAGAAGTTGCAGCAGCAACGGCGACAGCAGCAGTGGTAGCCGCAGGGCCACCTGCCCAGCCACCTGGCAGTACTTGCTGGAGACAGCCGGAAACTATCTGTGCTCGACAGACATGAAGGCTGCCTGCGAGCTGCTGGACAGGGAACCGCACTCCAGTTCTCAGTGCAGGAGAGACTCCAGGTCTTCTCTTCCTTTTCTCCCCTGTGACTATCATGAGTGGCTGTAGGCAGATCTTCTATCTTGTACAGGCAAGTGCACCATAGATCAGGGTCAGCACCTGAATAAGACAAAGTAAATAGGACCAGTGTCTTGTTCCCTAAGCCAGAAAGGGCCTACTCAGAGCCACTTTAGGAAGGATTGATTCCCATAACTCTTAACTGTAAACAGTTCATCATTGAAACATACTATAGGCCAGCCTTATGTCTAAGAAACAACTCAGAGGCCAGGCAGAGCAGGCTGGCTCTGGGACAGGGCTGGCAGACAGCACCTAGATGACCTACGAGGGCCAGGACCCAGCCTGCTTGTTAGTGTCCCCACAGACAGGAGCGCTAGGACAAGTCTAGCTTGGATAGACAGTCCTAACACCAGGAAGATCGGAGCAGGGCTGTGTGTCACGCAGCAGCTCTCTAGGAACCAGAGTAGAACTCTCAGGAGACAGAATCTATACTGAGACCACTACCCAGAACCAGAGCTTTTGGGTGAGTTTCCCACCGCTGCCAAAGGAGGGAGCATGTAGCTGTCAGCTCCAGATGAGAACAGAGGTGAGACTCAAACGTTGCAAGTTGGAGCAGGGCACTAGTAGCTCATCTCTATTATCCTAGCTACTCGGGAGTCTGCAGCTGGGTTGGGTTTGAAGCCAGGCTGGCAGACAAAGCCTGGATACTCTACCGTCAGTGAACCAGCAAAAAGCCCGAAGTGGAAGTGAGGCTCAAGAAGTAGGATGCCAGCCCTAGCCAGTGTTTGAGCCCAGTTCCAGCACAAAACCACTCCGGCTTGGCCATCAAGAACAACAGCCAGTGCTGCCACCGCCGAGGAAGTGTGCATGCCCTCCCAGCATCGTCCCCTGGAGCTCAGACAGTTCCATCGGTCCCGGGGCATGTATGAAGTTCTCAAGCTGGGTGTCCTGTCTTACTGCCCTTGCCCACGTCTGTATTTTCAGAATGAAGTTTATTCTTACTTGATTTTTGCTGTGTTTGAAGTCAGTCTCTGAAGTAGCTTTTGTGACCCACATGATCCCCGTCCACATCAGTCGGACCAGGGATGAGTGAGTGTCCCAGGTAGGTCAAACACACGCAGGTCATACTGCACCGCAGTTCCGGTTTGCACGGGACACGGTAGAGCCAGGGCCAGAGCTCTGCTGCTGCTCTCTTCTCAGAGGCAATGGGGGCAATCCAAGGCGGATGGCAGGACCACCGCAGTGGCCGGCTGGGTCTTGGAGTTTAGATGTCAGTTGTTTTTCTTTTTTTAGCCAGTCATTGGGCTTAGACTCAAGGCCTGGTAGCTGTCCCAGAGCTCTTTTGCTCAAGGCTAATAATAATAATAATGTTGTACCACTCTGAGCAACTTTGGATTTTTGTGTAGTTAATTGGAGATAAGAGTCTCACGGGGACTTTTCTGCCTGGGCTCCCTTCCAACCTCAGCCTCCTTAGCAGCTAAGGTGACAGGCATGAGCCACTGGCACCCAGCAATAATTTTTATCTTTTTTTTTTTTTTTAATTTTTTTTTTTGTCGGTCATGGGGCTTGAACTCTGGGCCTGGGCGCCGTCCCTCAGCTCTTCAGCTCAAGGCGAGCGCTCTACCACTTGAGCTACAGCGCCACTTCCGGTTTTTTGGTGGTTTATTGGAGATAGGAGTCTCACGGTCTTTCCTGCCTGGGCTGGCTTTGAACCGCGATCCTCAGATCTCAGCCTCCTGAGTAGCTAGGATTACAGGCGTGAGCCACCAGTGCCCGGCAATAATTTTTATCTTTACTAAGAAGTTGTACAGAGGCTGGGAAGGTGGCTCAGTGGTACAGTGCTCGCCTTGCATACATGAGGCCCTGGTTCAATTCCTCAGCACCACATAAGCAGAAAAAGCCGTTAAGTGGTGCTGTGGCTCAAGTGGTAGAGTGCTTACCTTGAGTTAAAGAACTGAGTGACAGTGCCCCAGGCCCAGAGTTCAGGCCCCATGACTGACAAAAAAAAGTTTACAAATGGGTTTCAATCCCAGAAGTCAGGTATGAGTACAATGAATGCACTTTTGCCCTTCAGTCCTAGGGCTTGAATTCAGGGCCTGGGCACTGTCTCTGAGCTTTTTTTGCTCAAGGTTAGCACTCTACCAATTGAACCAGAGCACCACTTCCAGCTTTTTCTGTGTATGTGATGCTAAGGAATGGAACCCAGGGCTTCATGCATGCTAGGCAAGCGCTCTACCACTGAGCCACAGTCCAAGCACAAATGCTTCTTGATCAGTGTCACTTCTTCCATTGTTTTCCCCCATCTTTCCTCATTCCATCCTTACTCTCACATTATGAAGTTCAATTTTTTTTTTTTTTTTTGATTAGTCGTGGGGCTTGAACTCCAGGCCTGGGCGCTGTCCCTCAGCTCTTCAGCTCAAGGCGAGGGATCTACCCCTTGAGCCACAGCACCACTTCCAGTTTTCTAGTGGTTTATTGGAGATAAGAGTCTCACGGACTTTCCTGCCTGGGCTGGCTTTGAACTGTGATGCTCAGATTGCAGCCTCCTGAGTAGCTGGGATGACAGGTGTGAGCCACCGGTGCCTGGCTGAAGTTGAGTTTTTACAAGGTATACATTGAATATAATGGCCGCATTTTTTCACGCTTCCTCCCACATAGCATGTTTCAGCTTCCTGGCATTTGTTTTGTACTTCTCCAAGTACACCGTCCTTCACTATGTATACGCATGGACCCTGTATGTGTTAACTTGCATGTTTGTATTCTCGATACAGTTTTCACATATGGGTGATGTTGTTTCCCCTTGGGCAAGACTTACTTTACTGAGCCTAATTTTTTTAGGTCCATCCATTTCCCTGCAGATGACATTGTATGCATGTACCACATTTCCTTAAGCCATCCCTTGTAGAGCATCTTGGATGCTTTCATTGCGTGGCTATTTTGAACAGTGCGGCGATATAAATGGGTGTGCAAGTACCTTTACTATATCCTGGTTTGTAATCTGGGTAGATGCCCAAAAGTGGTATCACTGCCTCACAGAGAAGTCCGATCGTTAAGTGTTTTGTTTTTGTCACTCCTGGGGTTTGAACTCTAGGCCTGGGCACTGTCCCTGAGCTCCTTTTGCTCAGGCTAGTGCTCTACCACTTGAGCTACAGCTCCATTCCTGCATTTTCTATGATGAATTGGAGGAGATAGTTTCATGGACTTTCCTGCCCTAGCTGGTTTCACAACATCTGTCCTCAGATCTCAGCCCCCTGAGTAGCTAGGATTACAGGCCTGAGCCTCCAGCATCTGGCCTGTATTTTTTTTTTTTTTAACTAGTCCTGGAGCTAGAACTGAGGGCCTGAGGACTGTCCTTGAGCTTCTTTTGCTAAAGGCCAGCACTCTACCACTTGAGCCACAGCACCACTTCCGGCTTTTTCTGTGTATGTGGTGCTGAGGAATGGAACCCAGGGCTTCATGCATGCCAGGCAAGCGCTCAACAGCCAAGCCACACTCCCAGCCTATGTCTAGTCATTTAAGGAATCTCCAGACCACCTTCCAGAGTGGCTGCCCTCGTTTGCGCTCCTACCTACAGTGCCATAGTTCTTTGACCCACTCCTAATCCCCAGTAGCATTTCCAGCTCTTCACTGTTGTGTGGGTTACTTCAGTACAGGGTCAGCAAGACAGCACCACTGCAGCGCCACTCGCCAGCATTTGGTGGGGTGGGAATACAGCCTGTGAAGCCCGGCCAGAGCTAGGTGAGGCCTGCTCCTCTCTGCTGGTCCCTCCACGTAATGTGCCCTCCTTCCTCCCAAGACACCCAGCGATGCACCCTGGCCTCAGCCAGGTGCAGGGAAGACAAAACCTGGGGCTGGGTAAAGTATCGCCCAGAAGGGCTGCTCCACTCCCAGAGGAAGCACAGCTTAGGGGATCCTAGCAGCTCTGGAAACTCCCAGACTCCTCTTCCTAATTGCTCGTTATTTCTAGGATGGGTGGGCACATAACCTCACTCTCTGGCAGAAAGGACCTTCTAGACCTGCCTCCTTTCTGTGCAAAGGAAGAGAAGCCGAATGGCTCCTGGCAGACCTCGTTTACCCAATACTCAGCCCTTGCCCACACCCGCCTTGTAAACTGAGACTACCCTCCAAGCACCCGGAGGGCTGAGGAAAGCTCCAGACTGCTGGGGAGACCCACAGAGGTGCCCTTGGCCCTGTGAGAATGGGAACCACTCTGACACCTGGACCCAGGACCTCCCCGAGAACAATGGGCTCAAAAGCTGGGGCAGAGGCCTTGCCATGGGCCACACCTGCCCGACTGAGCCTTCTGCTGGTGTTAGCAAGATGTGTGTGGCATTCTTCATGGGAAGCAGGTGGCATCGGCCTCAGGACCTCAGGAGACCAGTGTCTTCACAATGCTTACCAGCTGTGGCTTTAGCTGGGCGCCTGTGGGTCATACTGTAATCCTAGCTACTAAGGAGGCTGAGCTCGGGTCAAAGCCAGTCCAGGCAGCAAAGTGTGCGAATTCCCTCCAATTAATGCCCAGAAAACCAGAAGTGGTGTTGCGGCTCAAATTGTAGAGACTGGCTTCAAGCACAAAAGCTTTTCCCCCTTTTTCTTTCTGTGTGTGTGTGTGTGTTTTTTTTTTTTTTTTGTCAGTCGTGGGGCTTGAACTCTGGGCCTGGGCGCTGTCCCTCAGCTCTTCAGCTCAAGGCGAACGCTCTACCACTTGA